AACTAGAGCAAATAGTTCTAAAATTCATATGGAACTACAAAAGACCCCAAATAGCCAAAGCAATCCTGAGAAGGAAGAATAAAGCAGGGGGGAATCTCGCTTGCCAACTTCAAGCTCTACTACAAAAGCCACAATAATCAAGACAATTTGGTACTGGCACAGAACAGACCCACAGACCAGTGGAACAGAATAGAGAGTCCAGATATTAACCCAAGCACATATGCTCAATTAATATACAATAAAGGAGCCATGGACATACAATGGGGAAATGACAATCTCTTCAACAGCTGGTGTTGGCAAAACTGGACAGCTACATGCAAGAGAATGAAACTAGATCACTGTCTAACTTCATACACAAAAGTAAACTTGAAATGGATCAAAGACCTGAATGTAAGTCATGAAACCATAAAACTCACAGAAGAAAACATAGGCAAAAATCTCTTAAATATAAACATAAGCAACTTTTTCCTGAACACATCTCCTTGGGCAGTAGAAACAAAAGCAAAAATGAACTAGTGGGACTATATCAAACTAAAAAGCTTCTCTACAGCAAAGGACACCACCAGTAGATCAAAAAGGCATCCTACAGTATGGGAGAATATATTCATAAATGACATAACTGATAAGGGGTTAACATTCAAAATATATAAAGAACTCACACACCTCAACAAACAAAAAGCAAATAATAATGCAATTTAAAAAATGGGCAGAGGATCTGAACAGACACTTTACCAAAGAAGAAATTCAGATGGCCAACAGGCACATGAAAAGATGTTCTACATTGCTAATTATCAGGGAAATGCAAATTAAAACCACAATGAGATATCACCTCGCACCAGTTAGGATGGCCAACATCCCAAAGACAAGGAACAACGAATGCTGAGGAGGATGTGGGGAAAGGGAAACCCTCCTACACTGCTGGTGAGAAATGTAAATTAGTTCAACCATTGTGGAAAGCAGTATGGAGATTCCTCAAAAAAGTCAAAATAGAAATACCATTTGACTGAGGAATTCCATTCCTAGGAATTTACCCTAAGAATGCAGGAGCCCAGTTTGAAAAAGACAGATGCACCCCTATGTTTCTCGCAGCACTATTTACAATAGCCAAGAAATGGAAGCAACCTAAGTGTCCATCAGTAGATGAATGGATAAAGAAGAGGTGGTACATAGACACAATGGAGTATTATTCAGCCATAAGAAAAAAACAAATCCTACCATTTACAACAACATGGACGGAGCTAGAGGGTATTAGGCTCAGTGAAATAAGCCAGGCAGAGAAAGACAAGTACCAACTGATTTCACTCATTTGTGGAGTATAACAAGAAAGTGAAACTAAAAGAAAACAGCAGCAGACTCAGAGACTCCAAGAAGGGACTAGTGGTTACCAAAGAGGAGGGGTTGGGGAGGGCAAGGGGATTGAGTGGAATTATGATTGGTACACATGGTGTTTGGCGTGTCACAGGGAAGGCAATGTACATTGTCCAGAGAAGACAAGTAGTGATAGCATCTCACTACACTGATGGACAGTGAGTGCAATGGGGTGTGGGGGGGACTTGATAACATGGGTGAATGTAGTAACCACAATGTTGCTCATGTGAAACCTTCGTATGAATGTATATCAATGATGCCTTAATTTAAAAAATGTTTTGCATTTTCCTTCTGGCCTCAGTGAAATCTGATGAGTGTGAAGCATTCCCTGAACAGCAGCCTGGGAGCAGCTACTAGGCTGACTAATGACACTTCCATAAATTTGGCTAGTAAGGGGACAGCAAGCCTAAATGGAGTTAGACAGTTGATTACTTAGACAGCATAAGCAAGACCAGCATGGCGACAGCTCTTTACCTCCCTATTGCTACAGAATGACACTGAACATCAGGGACCAAATGAGAAATGACATGAGTAGGGGTCACTCACAGAAGAGTCAATTGTAGACTATAATTAAATACTTTTACTGCGTGCAGTTGTATTTCAATGGGAGGAGGCGAGGTGGAAGTCCTGGGAGGTAGATGACGACTTGGCTTATGACAGCCTCTTGCAATATAGGAAGGCAAGTGATGATAACTCCTCCCAAGTTTGCCTGTTTCATCATGTTTTGGAAGAATCACAAGATGGTCCCCCAAGGTTTAGGTCAAATTATAGCTTAGCTTTGCCTGTGTAGTTTATGTGGGTCCATGCAGGGTGGCCAGAGTGCCATCCATGGTGGAGCTATGCCACTACAGTGAAATCTTCCTGTCATTCAAGTCATTGCTTAAAAGTAATGTGTTGCTATTTCTCTGGCTGCATTCAAGATTTTTTCTTTATCTTTAGCTTAGCAGTTTTATTATGATCTATCTGGGCATGGATTTATCTGGGTTTAACCTGTTTGGATCTAACTGAGCTTCTCAGATCTATAGGTTTATGCTTTTTGCCATGTTTGGGGATGTCTCAGTCATGGTTTCTTCCAATTTTATCTGCACCACCTTCTTTCTTCTCCATTTGTGGGTATCCTATGACCTCAGCCCCTCTGATCAGAGAAGAAGGTTCCCCTTTCTCATAGTCTCAGGCATGTGGCACCATGCTGCCACCTGTCATTGCCACCAGCACTACCACCATGGGGCAGTCTGGAGCTGAGATGGAAAAGAACGATGCGAAGAAAAAAAACATACAATGGGATGGGGAGATTTCTTCTACTCTGAGTGTTAGTTATCTACATACCTGCTTCTCAGGCCAGAACTAGGAGTTTTCTCCTCGGGGCCTCTCAGGGTTCTCAGCCTCCTCGGGCCTAGGACTGGAGCCAAGAGGGAAAAAGGGGAACCTCACCACTCGTTTGGTGGTATTTAAAATTCTGGTCTTCTTCAATCTACCTTCTACTATTTACGGTTCAAAGTCCTCAAATACCTGCTCCACGTATTCTGTCCAAATTTTAGAGCTACAGCCAGTAGCAGAGAGAGGGTGGACTGTGGCTGCTCCATCTGATCTGAAACCACACCTCCCTCCGCCTCAATTCTACCATTTGAGAACCAGAACTATTTATAGGCACAAAGCTTAACTGGATTAAAGTGATGGTCTTACTCTCCCATGAAATTCTTATCCAGGAAGATAAAATTATGTATAGCTTTTTGATTGTTTCATGGACTTCCCGAAAATTCATGTATTTCAACAAAAGAACAGTCAGCTAACCCTCATCAGAGTAATGACTCCCTTCTCAAAATGACAGGTCATTCAACTTTTATATGATCATTACTCTTCAAGAGTTGCTTCAAAAATGTCACCTCACTGTGTCTGTCCAACAAAACCAAAGTATAAATATATCACAAACTATGCCCGATCCTAATATGTGCCAACATTGATTTATCTACCTTAAATCAGACTTTGTTTGATCAACAGATTATCCTGGGATTTTTTTTGGGGGGGATTGGCCTTGACAGATTTTACCCAAAAATAATCCCAAGGACCAAGGTAGCAATTAGAAATCCTTCACAATACTTTCTACTCCCACAAAAATGAAGCCGAAGCCATTAAGACAGATCACTACATAAAGATCTCAACAAGAGTTTATACATTACAAATGAGAAACACAAAAACTGTCCAGTTCATTTACACCCACTGAACTTTACTAACTAGAAACTTCCCTGGATCTAGCCCTCCCAGCATTACCAAGGAAAAGTTTTAGACATTTGTTTTGCTTTGTTAGACATGATGTGGAGAAGAGGACGATTTTATTTTTATATGTCTGGTTCTCCATTCCTGAACTTTCTATGGTAGTCATGGTTAACTCCTCCTGGGTCTCTTGCCAGCTCCCAGACACCCGCCATAAAGCACATGTTGACTTCTGTTCCCTTCCTCCTCAAACCAACGTTCCTTATTTCTATGTGTAAATCCATCACCCATTTTGAGGAAAACCAAACCATAATTGTTGTATGCTTGAACTGTAAATGCCACCCACTAGTGTGTTCATATAGGTATGTGCATAATTAAATAAATATGTCTGAGCAAAAGAAAGAAAAGTAACCCATTCAAACCGTGTTCCAATGTATTTGCAGGTAATTGTGCTTGTCGGTTCACCTTATTTTGCCCAATTTCTCAATGGCTCTTTTCTTTGCCCTTTTGCTTTTTACTTTAAAGAGAGCTGACATGGGGATTTTTTATTGTGAATATGTTATACACGGTGTAAGCAAGATGTGAAGTTTTCTGATTTTTAAGTCTGTGTCTTTAAAATTTTGCTTTGCGTTTTAGAAATGTTTGCTGGAGTTGAAAGTGTCATGTGGCAGTCTCCTTCTCCTCTCCACCTTCCTCCCGTGCGCCAAAGTCTGCAGCCCTGCTTGAGCACCCACCCTGCTGCCCTTTCTGTTTCCCACCTCCAGCCCCCTTCCTCTCTAGCGCCCCCATCAGGAATGACTCACATCCAGTCACACGGAGATTTCGTCTCTGGTAACCATATAGAGATAAAGCTGTGTACACTAGAATTTTGCTTCAGGGGAACTCACAGTGGGGAAAGGATTTGTATAATTCCATTTTGGGGGGCAGGGTACTTTATCTCTTTTCTGGGCTTCTTATCAAACAAACTCACAGAGCTCTTCCTAATAATATCCATATTTCCCTGTGTACAAATCACTTTGATAATGCATTTGATTCTCACAGGACAGGTTAGGACTGGGAACACCATTGCTATTCTTGAACAGATTAGCAAACTGAGGCTCACCCCAGAAAGAGGGACCATGGGCCACATGCTAAACTAGGCAGCTTCCCCACGATTGCTTTTGTATTCATTCATTCATTTATTTGACAAATATCTTCTGCACTCTGAGAATGTGCTGCTTTCTGTGTTGCTCCCAGACTCCTGAAGCACACAGATGAGACACCTGCCTGTACAATGTGGGCAACAAAATTCTTTGGCTTTTTTTCCAGATCAAGCCCAGTGTATTTCAGCCCTATCCAAGTTGAATTAGAAATTAATGAAAGGAGGCAGAATTAGCAGCAAATCGGGGTCAAAAGATTTTACGCACCAAACCTGACCCTACCTTGAACTCCAAGTGTAGCCTTAGACCACTCCATTCCCCTCTCTGGGCCCCAGTTCTCCATCTGTAAAGAGAAGTGCTAGACTGAAGGTATTGACAGCTCTAGAAATCTGCCTTTAAAGATCTGTGTTCATTGGTCCTTACTGTCTATTCAAAGATACAGTAGATCAGTGCCTCTCAGTGGGGAGGGGGGGGATACATTCCCCAAAGTGGGGTGTGACAGACTCTCCGAGTGTGTGAAATTTGAGAAGATACTCAATATTATAATTGAATATTTCCAAGGTGGGTGGGGAAGCTATTGATTTCATATTGCAAACTACAGAATGCAAAGTAAAGGCAGTCTTTTGGCCAGATGAGAACATATATCCCCTGATGGAGCCGATATTGTGGTGGGAGGGACAGCAGCCTCTCTGTTGACCTGAAGGGTCCATGGATTTTTGGAAGTAGAGGGTGCTCTGCTGGGCTCGCAGGAGGGGCAGGCGGGGCTGGGTGACGCGCCACGGACCCTTGGCTGTCCCTTTACCTTGGGAGCCTCTGTGGGTCCAGTACTTGGTGTCATGCACCTCCTCCTTCCTCACGGTCCCTGCGTGTCACAAGCGGGTAGAAGGAGGGATTTCTCCTGCCAGGGCAGCTCCCTCCCGGTTGAATTACTGATTGAATTCTGCCTGCTACATGCCAAGTGGCTGATTGCTTCAGAATCGCTTACCTTGTTTCACTGCCTTCCTTTATAGGCCATTTAATTTGGGTTTTGAGCTCCACATTGTGCTTTTTCCTTTTCGGTTGCACAGCCTGTGGATTTCAGCAAGTACGCCCTTGCTGCCCGGCCATTCTTTATTTCAGCTCGCAGCTCAGGGGGCCCACCTGTTTATCCCGGCCCTGCTCTCACTGTTTTTTCATCTCCCCTTTGCCAATTATCACTTTGGTTTCTACCCACTCTCCCAGCCTCATCCACAGCTTTTGTCTATCTCGCATTTATCCATCCATATCTCTCTGTCATATTCTTGCAGATTGCTAGACCTGAAGCATCGATTTTTCCCCTTTTTGCCTGAGAAAATAGTTACTAGCTAAACGATTGTGCTTTTCAAGCCTTCCCTCCCAGAAGCTCACAAATTATCATTGATCAAGGACTTTCATTAAGTGCATCATTAAGCAAACACTATTGTTTAACACACCCAAAATCTGTCTTTTTGCAGGCCCAGGGAACAGGGTAGAAGACCAGGGTGATTTTGTTGCTAAGTTCTTCACCCAAATGCAGTAAGGAGCTGCCCTTCATCACACTGGGGCCTGCTCTCGTCTCCACACGAGCACATAACTGGCAGTGACATGAATCAATTTTTTATGGATTAACACAGGCTTCCGTGCAGAAGACCGGCAGGGCTCCTAGTGATTCTCATCTGAAGAAGGGTCCTGATTTCTTTTCTTGCCCCCTTTAAAATGAAATACATGCAGGAGCTTGGAGTTGAAAGTCTCCTGAATGCTAGCAAAGCTCTGTTGAGCAAAGCTGCTTGCCACACACTGCTGAACCCTCTCCTTGCTCCCACAAATGCCACTTGAGCCACCTTCCAGGTGGCCGCCTCTGTGGCACCCCTTTGAAAAGCCATTGTTTCTATTTCAACTACTAAGTGTGGCCACTGACTTCTCATTTACCCCTTTGAAGCCCAGCAGAAAGGGAAGGTTGGAGGGAGGACAGCACCTGGAAAAAGCCGCCCAAGAGCAAACATCAAAATGTGGGCACCCTGCATGTATTTTTACAAAAAGTCAGGAAAACCCAGTGGGAGCCAACGGCACGTGTTTTTTATTCCTAAAACTCCAGCGGGCTTCACTCTGCCCAGAACAACTTTTGAAATGGAAAGGGGAAAAAAGAAAGGGGATGATTAACAAAGACGAAAAACCATGCTTAGACGATGATTTTATTTCCCAGCTCTAGCTTTCCTGCCTTATTAATATACTTCTGGAGTGGATGAAAGTCCTTGGCATCCAAAGCAGGTAGTAATGGCCCATCAGGAGACCCCATGCCAGCTTCCTTATCAGTGGGTTACTGAAGAGTCCAGTCATCTTGCTACTCTCACTGGTTTTAAAGAGGCCCACGAAGACAAATGGAATGCCCCTGTCCTTCGTGCATTTTCCCCAGCCATTTCTGACAGGCTCTCTCATGTAGAAATCACCCTTCTCTGACAGCATTTGGCTGGGTCTGTCACATTAACAGCCGGGCCGAGACAAGGCCAGAGTCTGACGAAATGCAGTTTGCTCATTTCAATGTGCAGAAATGTGTTCACAGCAGATGAAGCCCCAGAGAGCAATGGGCTGTGTGCACGCTACTTTTTCAGGGGCCCTGGAATTTGGGATCTGTAGCCTGGTAAAGATACTGTTGGAGCTTTCTCTATAGATGTAGCTGAGACTCTTATTGGCAACAGTAAAATAGAAAAGCTATCCTGACCAGAGGTTTCATTCAATTCGAGCTTGCGTGACCTTTGCCCACTTGTCCCGTGCAGTACTGGAAGCAGTTACCCAGGTGCCCAGGCTGGGGAGGCTCAGTGCCCCAGAAAGTCAGTGCCTGTAACGTCTCAGTGTATAAAGGTGGCCCCTTCCCACCCTACCCGTCCGTCTGGCCCCAGGCTTTGAGCCAGCCAGCCTTCTGCTAAGTAATTAATAACAAATAATAATAAACAATAGAGACAGAGCTCAGGGGCAAACAGGATAGTTTGTTTTGTTTTAAGTACAGTATACATACAGAAAAGTATAAAAACCAGTGAATTTTCAAAGTGAACACACCCATGGAATTTCATCCAGGTCAAGAAATAAGAGTATGACCTGGGTCTCAAACGTCTTCCTCATACTTCTGATGCAATTCAGGGCAAGTCACCCCAAAATATGCCACTTTGACATACTGATTATTTTGAATTGAAGTTTCTTAAGAAACAGCTGGTACAAAAAGACTGTTCTGACCCTCTTTGTCCCCCTGAAAGCAGGAAATTACTCTGATGGGAAAGGTGCCCTCCCTGCGCCTGGAGGAAGACAGACATGCCTGTGTCCAGAGACAGGAACCCTGACCCCCCAGGCTGCACGAATAGACTTCGCTACTTCCTCACGGCTTTGCTACCCAAGCCCAAACTTCTATGTCTTGTCAATTCTTCACAAATTTGTGGTTTCTTTGTCTATAAGGTATACAAACTGCCTGATTTGGTCACTTCTCTGAGATTATATTTCTACGAGCCCCTGTACATATGAATTAAATCTGTTTTTCTCCAGATAATCTCTCTCATGTGACTTTAATTCTTAGACCAGCCAGAAGAAACTTAAAAGGTTGGGGGAAATTTTTCCTCGCCATGACTCCCTTCTCACTACCCCTCCCCCTGCCAGGGCAGATTAATTTTTGCCATAAAGCCACATCAAGAAGGTGTGAAATTTCTAGGAGGCCATCAGTATGTGTGGCAAGACAGAGCAGTGCGTTAAAGTGAACATATAGTTCCTACCTGTTAGGCTGGTCTCCTTCTAGCCATACTGTGACAAGAGCACAGGCAAGATGGCAGCCTGGGATAGCAGAGTGAGAACTGGGCATCCAGCAGGGTGACTGAAGGCAAGTTACTTCATGTTTCTCATTTGTCCCCACTGTAAAATGGAAAAACATAGTATCTACCTTGAAAGGCTCTTGTGACAATTCAATAAAATCAATGCGTTTATATTTTACTATAGAAACATAGTAGGTACTCAGTGACAGAAGCTGCTATTTTGCCGTCATTACTGGTAAGTTGAGGTGATGCAGGGTAATATCAAACTCAAGGCCCGTGTGCTGCTGAAGGGATCGGCTACGCTTACCTACCTCTACCACAAAGAGCACGTTCACTGTTTACTTAACCCACACCAAGCGTTTTGCTTGAGCAGAGAGCGCCTAGTTCAGTTCGGAAGTTGACGCCGCCCTATATAACAACCAGTTTGTGTATTTTATTTAGCAAGCAATTATCCTCATTCATTGCCAAGAAAAAAGTTGTGATTCCATTTCACAAACATTGGCATTGGAGGACTGCCTTCAGGGTGACACCTAGTAAGACAACACAGTGACCCTACACACTTGGGCCTGTCTGACATCTTGGAGATTACCACCCTTTATTTCAACAGGCCCCAGCCCCAGTCCCTGAAAGTCCCCTTCACCAGAGCTGTAAACTACTTTAGTGGCCACCCCAGCTTTAATGTATGTCAATAGCAGTGGCTGTAAGAGGTGAAGTCTTGTGGCTGTGCCCACTGACAGATACAACAGACATCCCTGAGGACCAGGCTACAGATACCCAATAGTTAGTTCTACCTGCTTCATCAAAAACCAGCACGTTTCTGGGCAATCAAGGCCCAATCTCAGCTCTGCCACTAGCAATTAGGACTACAGGCCAACACGGAGCAGAAATGGATGGCAGTTTCCCATGGGGAGAGCTGTGCGGGTAGGGTTGGGCAAATAGGAGAACACAGAGGGCCCAAGGACTGTGATGGGGAAACTGAGAAAAAGGAGGAGGGTGTGTTCAAAATGTCCTCCACAAACCATTTCGGTGAGTTGCTCAGTTTGGCCACCTCTTTTTAGTCATATGTACTAGGATGGATTGAGAAACCCGTTATGTTTTCTGTTCTAAAGAACACTTAGAAGCAGGTAGGGGTGGTGATGGGTTCAACCCCACTTCAAAAATTATTATCAATGATCATGCTTCCTTTTCTAACAAATGGTGTGGGGCAAACTGACTGTGCACATGCGAAAGAGTGAAGTTGGACATTTACCTACCACCATGTATAAAAATTAACTCAAAATGGATAAGGGGCCTAAATGTAAGACCTAAAACAATATAACTCTCACAAGAAAACAGGACAAAAGCTTCATGACACTGGAGTGGGTGAGGATTTCTGGGACGTGGCACCAAAGCCACAGGTAACAGAAGAAAAAACAGACCAGTTGGACTTCATGAAAAATCTAAAATTTTGTGTACCAAAAGACACTATCCACAGAGTAAAAAGGCAACCCACAGAATGGGAGAAAATATTTGCAATCATATATATCATAAGAGATTAATATCCAGAATATATAGAGAACTCTGAAAACTCAACAGCAAAAAAACTAAACAACCTGGTTCAAAAATGCATGAAGAACTGGAATAGACATTTCTCCAAAGAGCCAACACCATGGAAGGATGCGCAACCTCACCAATCATTGGGGAAATGCGAATCAAAACCACAATGAGACATCACCTCACGACCATTAGGATGGCTATCAAAGATGCAGAGAACAAGCTGTTAGCAAGGACGTGGAGAAATTGGAACCCTTCTGCACTGCTGGTAGGAATGTGAAATGGTACAGCTGCCATGGAAAACAGTATGGCAGTTACTCAAAAAATTAAAAATATGACTACCTTATAACCCAGTAATCCCACTTTGGGGTATATACCCAAAAGAACTGAAAGCAGAGTCTCAAAAACATATTTGCACACCCAAGTTCATAGCAGCATTATTCACAATAGTGAAAACCTGGAGGCACCCCGAGTGTCCATCGACAGATGAACAGATAAGCAAAATGTGGTACATATGTACGATGGAATTCTATTCAGCTTTTGAAAGGAAGGAAATTCTGACACTCGCTTACAGCGCAGATGGACCTTGAAGACATGACACTAAGTGAAAGAATCAAGTCACAAAAAGACAAATACTGTGCAATTCTACTTATATGAGGTACTTAAATTCGTCAAAATCATAAAGACAGAATATATGATGGATGCTGTGAGGGGCTGGAGGGGGAGAATGGGGAGTTACTGTTTAATGGGCACAGAGTTTCAGATCTACACAATGAACAGCTATAGAGATAGTGGTGATGGTTGTACAAAAATGGGAATGTACTGAATACCACTGAACTGGACACTTACAAATGGTTAAGATAGTAAGTGTTATGTGTTTATATAATCACCCCCCCCACACACACTATATATATATATATATATGTATATATGCTCTAAGCCTTCAAAAATAAAGCACTTGGTAATACCTGGTATTGGGTATCAGAGTATCAGATATCTGGATGCTTGTTGCCCTCAGAAGAAAGGAAAGGTACGTTCTTTGCTTTCTGGCTCCCTTTCCCCCAGGCAATTGCACCTCATCTCTGGGCTCATCCCACCTTGAGGCTCCTCCAGTCAGGGCAGCTCAGAGGCTCCTCTTTTTAAACTCTTTACAGAGACAAAACCCAGCTCATGCTTCTGCCCCCTTGGGAAGCTTTCCCTGCCCCACCCAAGAAAACTTGGCCCTTCCCGTCCTTGCTGCCATCTTCCCACAGCCTGCGAGCCCAGCACTGACCCCGCTGATGGAAACGGCTTCGTGCTCACACCTGTGACCCCCTGGAGGGCTAGGGGCACAGCTGTATTATTCTTCTCTACATCTTCCGCTTCTAACCCAGTGCCTGACACAAACGAGATGTGCAGTCATTGGCGAATGAGTATTTGTGCTGACCGTATGCTACAAAAATTTCCAGGTGCTCGCTTCTTTTGTCTAATTTTTTCTCAAAAAGTAATAACAAAGTAACAACAATTTCAACTTTTCCTACATTCAACCTAAAATAGAAGCTTCCTTTACTGACATACCTACTTGTATTAAAAACAGAACTGGAAACCCCAAGCCAGGTTGCTCTTGGAGCTGCCCTCCTGCCAGCCTTCCTGCCAGCGCCCCCAGCTGGACTTCGAGGGCCTAGTCTTCTAGGCATAGCGCATGCCCTGCCGGTAGGTTGGACTATGTGACCGTATGTTTGAGGGGTTACATTCAACTCCCACTTTAGCCGGGCATTCAGAGCTGTCCTACAACTAGTGCCCAACCCCCTTATCCAGCTTCATGTCACATCAGCCCTCTGAAGTTTGAGTTACCCTGGATTACCCCCTTTATGTGACATCTGTCATCAGCTTTCCTGCCTTCATACTTCTGTTCCAAGTGGCCACCCCTGTAACTTCCTTCCCTGCCACTTCGGTTCCCTGTCATCTTACTCAAGTACATACCGACCTCTAACGTCATGTCTGCCTCCTCTGGGCTCCTCTAATGCTCTGGATACACCTCCCTGAGCACATGTATCCTTTGTAGCTTACAACATTACTACTGTGCACCTGCCTGCTAGCAGCACTCGCCTCCGCGATTCTGTCTCCTCTCTGTTGGTATCTCTGTTGGTATCTCTGTTGGTATACCCCGAGTGCTGCCCAGTGGATGCCTGCTGAAGCAGAAACACCCACAGTTGTCCTCCAAATGTCATTTTCTTTAAAATGTTAAGATTTTAGCAACCTTAAGATGCACTTACATCAAATCAAACATTGTAATTCTGAACCAGGCCTTTCTCTATTAACTTTTTCTGAAAACAGTTTTACTTATCAAGAGAAAGCAAGTCCATCATAATTAGCTGAGAATTCTTTCATAAGATTTTTCAAATTAGTAAAGGTGTCATTAGCTGAATCACCCAGCCTTCATTATTTGATCATGTGTGACAATGATTCAACTGTCATTAAATAAGAATTAAAATATTTTTCTGATGATCTTGATTGTACCGTGCATTTTAATATATATTAATGGTGCTCTAATGAGGACTAGAGGCAGCAGTTACCACAGAATAGAAATTTTTTCCCTAATGCCGATTATTAAGGGTCAATTGACATTTTCATCTTGAGATGTAATTTTCAGGTACAACTGGCCCAGAGATATGAGTTGAATATGAAATATTTGATTCTGAAAGGCAAGTTACAGAAACCATGCCATTTGGGGAGATTAAAAATTGTCTATTGCTTATTTGGAGATTGGGCATGAAACGAAACAGCTGTGTGTGGAATCACTTTACTTTGGGGCAACTGCGTTTGTTTTTCCATAGTTCAACCGCGATTTGTCTTCAGAAATGACACATTCCTCCGACCACTTCTGAGGGATGCCCTGTGATTGAAGCTCACAAATTTGGCAGCCAGTTTACCCTTTTACATGATGCCACCACATACTCACACGCTTCCCATAATTTGAATAACCAGGAGCCTGCCAACAGTCCGAAGAGATGAATAATATAACAGTCGGTGACTCTGCCCCACAAGCTCTGGTTCAGAAACTCTCCCACCCAAGTTGGAGGGAAAGTGTTTTTGAGGTCCTTGAGCTGTTTTCTATCCATCTAGGTCACTTAACACCTTATCAAGCCAAGTCATTTAAAGAGCATTAAAATTAACGTCCAAGAACATTAAATGTAAGTGAACATATCCGGGAGATTTAATCACTCTGTCTGATCAAACTAGAGGCTCTAAAAGCTAAATAAGCAGAAAGGTCAATGGGTGCCAACTTCCCTAACACCAGATCACAAGCTTCAAAACAAGGGCCAGTCAAGAGTGACAGATTCCAGCCATGATGGTGTATGGAGACCTTCCTGGGTGACCTGAGGTGGCACGCCACAATGCAATGACTCACCAGAGAGGCAGAAACAGTGGAGAGGATCTGGAAAACAGTAATCTGGTTATTACATGTAATGTATGCCTAGAAACGAGTGTCAATTTCACCCAGACGGTCTTTTTAGCCTTGAAAAATTAGATCAACACAAATGAATGGAGTTCTGAAAGTTCAAAAGGTTTTCTCTGAGGAAAAAA